CAATTTATTTTCTTAGCTTCTTTAGGGTGTGAGGAGGAGGATTTTAACTAGATTCCCAGAATAGAATTGTGCAAAGTGACTTGATAGCATACATCTGCCTCACTGCCATTCAGATTATAATCTTCCTTGAGTTCTTATTAAATATAATCTGAACACACGCTGTAAATACAAGTTATAATAGCGTTACAGTTGCTGTGCAGACAACCCAAAACAAACTTACACATATGTGCATACAATTTTCATTCATCTTCCTTGAAAAAAAAAATACAGAGATAATTGTATACAGTATGTTATAATCCATTGCAGGGCTCTCTTTTTTTAGCTCCTAACTTCTGTGCTCTTGGCTTATGCTTGGCTTTCCTTGTATTCTCCTGTATGGCCCGCAGCCAGGCAGACCCCCCACACAATGGAGGAATGACTGCAGCAGGAAACACAAGCTAAGCTGGCCTGAAGCTGTGTTGGACTGTGTAGACATGGAATGGGAACACTGGATGCTGGCTCTGACTTTAGCTCGACTGAAAGCCCAGTTACACTTCTTCTGTGACTGGACTAAGGGACATGGGACTTTGGAAACCCAGAGATTTAACTCCACACAAATAAAAACCACTAGTTCTCCCATGCCAGTGATAGAACATTAGTTTTCTCAGGATATCTCAAGAAATCTACCAGCAGCAGCAACCAGAGGAGACAAGGCACTCTCCCCTCCCTCAGCACAATACCACTAATCTCAGGGGTTAGATCCATCTTTAGAACTGCTTCCAGTCTACACACTCAGAATTCATTCAAAAGGTTTCACTTTTCTCCTCTTGGAAATACAACAGAAGGAAAGAATCAAGAAAAAGAGAATTCTCTAACCCAGTCTTAAATAATTATACAAAAAATGAGCCTTATTCTTCTGGGTTACTTTTTAAAAAGCAGGGCAGGGGGGCAATAACTCAGCCCTATTTTTTTATATTGACTACTTGGGTAACACAAAACATTGAAAAATAATAACCGTAAGGCTGGCCTAAAAAAGTCACCTATTATTCTCTACTGAATGTATGTGGAAAGTAACTTTTACACATTGCAATAAGAACTTTCTCACTCCAATCCAACAGAGGTTATCTCCTTCCTAAACTTCCTAAATAAGATTTCACTTTGTAGACAGCTGTTGAATCTTTTCCCATCAACTTCAAGTTACACCCTAGAATCTTGCTTTATAAATCGAACTCCAATGATGACCCAGCAAAGATATGACAGGAGAGGTTATGAATGTCAGTTCTTTAGAAGTATAAAAGCCAAAGCAGTAGCATTCACTTAACTACTTGCAACATTGGAGACAAGTTCCAAGTTTCTCTTTTAGTGTATAAGCTCAACTTAATAACATCAGGCACTGAGGATGTTTTCAAGTAATTGACTTGAAGGGATGAGAAATGAAGTGTCTTACCTTTTAACTGTAGTTAAGCAAGAAACACCTATCTGTCCTGGTAGCAATGTTGTTCTCCTTTATAAAAAGAAAAAAAAAGTTATTAATTCTTGGGCTTTAGCATCAGAAAGAATTGCATTTAAATGCGGGTGTTGCCTTTATTACCTGGGTAATTTGAGGAAGTAGAGAAATTTATACGCACAATTTATTTTAGTGAAAAACACTAAAAGTTTTAAAAGGAATTGTTTTCTATCATACCATTGCCAGACAGCTGAATTTTGCATCTAAGAAGCAAGCAGAAGCAAGCACTGTTTGCCTTTTCTTCTCTATTGAAGATATGTATATATTTCCACCAAAAATCTATGTATGCTTTACAGCTGATAGATCAATTGCTATTTCTTTCTTTTCAGATTTAACCCATAGGAATGAATAATCATTCAAAGTGTTTGTACATTTCATGATACTTTCAGGTTTGTAGAAAAATTGAGAAAATAGTACACAAAGATTCCATGTGTTCTGCACCAAGTGTCCCTTACGGTTAACGTATTATATGAGTCTGTTATAGTTCTTACAATGAACGAACCAATATTCATACATTATCATTGCCCAGTCTTCTTTCCCTGTCCCAGGATTCATCCAGAATACTACACTGCATTTACTCATAGGTTGTCATAGGCTCCTCGCAGCTTGACCAGCCTCACAGAGTTTCCTTGTTTTTTGAGGACCTTGACTGCTTTTAGTACTAGTTAGGTATTTCATAGGATATACCTCAATTGGATTTTTTATTATGTTTTTATCATGATTAGACTGGGCTTATGGGTATTTTTTGGAGGACAACTGTAGAAATAAAGTGCTACTTTCATCACATCATATCAAGGACACGTTCTCTTAACCTGAAATCACTGTGGTTAACCCGGACCATCTGGCTGAGGTAGTGATTGACAGATCTGACAGCTATTAAAGTTACTCCTCCCCAACACCCCATTCCATTCTGTTCTCCTTGGATGGAAGCCATTAGGCCCAGCAGCACACGCTTCAGAGAGATATGTCTACATAAATGATTACAACTTTTCTGCACAGATATGTCTCTTCTCTACTGTTTGTTTGTTCAAGTATTTACTTACATCAGAACAACTACTTTATACTTTGTGGTTATAACTGAGTAGCACTGGTTTTATTATGCAAATCAACTTTTCCAGCTGTGGCCATTAGTACCTCTTTTGGTTGACACATATAAACCTTTGACACACCTTCATCCATTGGGGCATTTCGTTATTGTTTGCTTTGCTTTGTTTTTTTGTGTGAGTACTTTGTTACTTTCTGGCACCAGAAGATGCTCCAAGATTGTCTTATTTCCTGTCCCTGTCTTAGAATAAGCCTACTTCTTTATCTTTGGGAATTTTTTGGAGAAGAGTGTAAGAAAACCTGATCTGCACTAAGTGCTGCCTTTGATCCTGGACTGTTGTTTCTAGGTTCTCTCAGCTGACAAGGCAAGAAAATATATCTGTGTATATATTCATGTCCATAAATATGTGTACATAATTTAATGGCTTGACAGCTCATTTTAAATCACTGAATAATATTCCATTATACAAATGTATCACAGTTTATCTATTTACCTGCTGTAAAGTATCTTGCTGTTCTCAATTTTTGGTAATTTAAGTCAAGTTACTATAAACATTCAAGTGATGTGTGTGTGTGTGTGTGGACATACGTTTTCAAGTAAGTTTTGTAAGTGCCTGTAATGTATTTCCTGGATCATATGATAAGACCCTGTTTAGCTTCATAATAAACTGCTGAACTGGTTCCACAGCAGCTATACATTTTGAATTCCCACTAGTAATAAGTGAGCAACACTGGTGTTCTCCATCCCTCCCCAGAAATTGGAATTGGTGGTGTTTTTTTTTGTATCATAGCCATTCTCATCCTATATGAGAATATGCAAATTGACTGAACAGCAGAATGACCAGTCACTATGTTGCACACTGACCACCAGGGGGTAGACGCTCAACAGAGGACCTGCTCCCTGGTGCTCAGTATGCTCCCATAAGGGGAGCACCACTCAGCCAGAAGCTGGGCTCATGGCTGGTGAGCACAGTGACGGGAGCCTCTCCTGACACTGAGGCAGTGCTAAGGATGCCCTGATAGCTTAAGCTGGCAGTCGGACACCCCCAAGGGTTCACAGACTACAAGAGGGTACAGGCCAGGCTGAGGGACCCCCCACACCTCTGCCACCCAACTGCAGGGGCCTCTAGTAGCTGTATAATATTATTATATTGTTTCTGTTTTAGAATTCCCCAATGATATAAATTTGGAAGAAATGACAAAACAAAGGGGTTTGGGCATCAGGTAGTAGGTTAGTGAAGTAATAATGTTTATTTATCCAGCCTTCTCTGCCCTAAATCCCCCATCTCTGCTAAAAAGGATGCCTCTACCCACTAGTGCAGGGAGAATACCTTTTACTTGGGAATTTTACTTCCTGCTTCTGGGTGAAAGGACAGTGAGAATATGCCTCTTGCACTGTTTGTTTCTTAAATAACTTTAAATTCATGATGACCAATATGCCAAAGTGGCATATTTTGGGGTGGCATTATCCAATTCCTAGATTCCTGAGTATTAGTATGACCAGGGCCTGTTAAATTTTATCAGATGTTTTGTTCTGTATTAATTGATACAATCATACACTTTTTCTTCCTTAGCCTCTTGATATAATGATAGCCTCATCGAATGACTTAGAAAATGTTTCTTCTGTTTCTGTTTTCTAGCAGATATTTTATGTGTAGAATATTCTATGTGTTGCTCCTTCTTTCCAATGACCACAGCCTTGAGGTGATCTTTCTTCAGTTTTACCCATGAGAACCTGAGGTGGTCTCTCCACACCCACAACTCACTCCCCCCTCCACACACACACACAGAACTGCAGCCACCAGGTGTTTCTTCCTTCAAACCAGTCTACACTCAGTCTTTTAGATATATATATATATATATATATATATATATATATATATATATATATTATTGATTTTTCACAGAGAGAAAGAGAGAGGGATAGTCAGAAACATCAATGAGAGAGAATCATCAATCAGCTGCCTCTTGCACACCGCCTACCGTGGATGTGCCAGCAACCAAGGTACATGCCCTTGACCAGAATCGAACCTGGGACCTTTCAGTCTGCAGACCAATGCTCTATCCACTGAGCCAAAACGGTCTCGGCTACACTCAGTCTTGAGTAACTTGTAAAATTAACATTTCTGTTCCTATCCATTTATTACTCCAGGGTCTTTGGTCCAAATAAATATCCATTAGCTGAGAATCTCTGGATTCTCTCATCTCTCCACATTATATGGTGAAAATTTGCCTTGAGGCTTCTGTTCTTTCCTTAAAAGTCACAATTATCAGTTTCTTCCAACTTTTTTTTTTAAATAAAATAATGAGAGTAATGACTTCCAAGCTCTTTATATATTGAAAGTGAAACTGGAAGAAAACAATGTACTTTTAAAATTTCCTAGTTTTTTTTTTAAGTTATCTGTGAAATTCTTCTTACAGAAATATGTCATATTTCTTTTCTCTTAATCTCACTCAAACACACACACACACACACACACACACACACACACACTTTCTCACAAAAATATTCCCATCTTTTCAAATATATTTATATCATACATTTTATTTGTATAAATATTAAACACTAGAGGACCAATACATGAAATTTGTGGTACTCCCTCCCTTCTCCCAGCTGCCTGCACCACTGGGGCCTCCCTCCCTTCCCCTTGCCTGCCCTGCCTCCTGGTCAAACTCCCAGAAGAACTCCTGGTCAAGGGGATAATTTGTATAATATATTTTTATTATATAGGATTGACTATATTATGAAGTAGACAGTTGTTTATAAGTGAGCCATATATATTTCAAATTATTTTAGATTATTTTTCTAATTCTCACTATTTTCTACCATAACATCCCAAGAACCATTCTTCCTTTTACTATATTTTCAGTTAAAATACAAAAGCTATTCCATCCCCAAGATGGCTGCTGAGAATCCTAATGGCATTCTATTTCTCCACTTTTGTAAAAGCTTTTTCCCAGGAAGCTTTTTAGATCTTACCCTTTCTTATCTCTGGTGCCTGAAAGGTTATAATATAAACAAAGCATACAATGATATCTATATTATAATGTTATTTGGAGGATTAAATACTATAATAGATGGGAATGTCCTTAGTGTAATAACTGGCTAATCTTGAGCATTAAATTAATTTTTAATAATAAAATTGATGATCATAATATTGCTTATTTTAAATAGATAGCATAATGCTGTATTATTTTATATATCTGCAATAAATATTTCCCCACATTTTTCTGAGCAATTATAGATATTTTTGAGCTCAATAGAACTTTCATTGTTTATGGTAAAGAGATTAAATCTCTTTATAAGTACAGGATATAGAAAGCCAACACAAGCTCTAATGGCTCACAGATCAAGTTCTAAATACTAGTGCTACCTTACTTTAAGACAAATATTAAAATATTTAATAATAAGTTCCATGACTCTTATGTTTCACGTGAAATTATGCAAAACAATCAATGTTGAGAACTTGGGTAGTAAAAGTGACAAGCAGATTTCCAGTTTCTTTCCTCTTAAATGCTATTCTTCTATTCATGGATTCCTTTAATTTGTAGGACCCATCTATCATGCAAAAGATTGCATTTGATTTCGTGTGCTCTACATTAAGAGGAATATAATCAATGAAATTTATCAGGATATTAATAAGTCTGTATGAAAGTAGAGTTAGGAAGCCTGAAATCATGTCATGAGAAAGTGATAACAGTTCTATTAAACTTAATAATGAAAGTATATCACTAATTTACATTACATACATTGTTAAAAGGTGTTTCAAAGTTTAGCTATTTCTTTGTACTTTCATAAAACTGAAACAGATATTTGACATAACAAATAATAAGGTATATTTATATTTATAATAGAGCTGCCTCGAGTTTGAGCAGCATTTGACTATGATTCTGTTGCCTTTTTTTTCCCCCCTCTCCAAAGATATCCAACCGTTGGAAAAGCTGTCAAAGAAGCATTTCAAGCCCAGCTGGAAGAGTGCTTTGACAGTTTCATAAGGCATAACACTGCTTGGAGTGCCAATTTATATTCAGATTTCTGGGCTTCACCCTTTTAAGAGTATGATATAATGGGTGATTTTGAGATGTGCTGCTGATACGAGGTTTATACAAAAGCAGTTGAGAAATTCTGGTCTAGGGGTATGACATGATGAGTTCTAAGGCTTATTTCTAACTGCATATGCCCTGATTTTAATAAATTAAATTATTTTAGCAGAGAGGTGACTCAATTTGGATCTCAAATGATGAGAATAATTTCACAGTGAATCTCAATATTGTACAAACTGACATTGCCCTGACTGCCATTATCTAAATCAGATGTCTTTAACTTCAACTAATTTTTAAAATATTAACAATTCCATAGTAGGGATCAAAAATATTTTACCTAATGACAGTATCATTGCAGTTACTATATCTTAAACACAATGGAGCAGTTGCCATTTATTGTTTCTAAGACAATACATAAATGATACCTAACATTGTACACTAATAAATGTGGATGTCATTGTACCATTACTGAGCAAACTATAATACAATATTTATTTCAGAACACAATTGGCTCTCAAAGGGAGAAAAACCAAATATATTTTAAACAAGAATATGAGCTATTTCAGAAGCAAACTCCACACTGCTCTTTTTAAAAAAATATATCTTATTGATTTTTTACAGAGAGGGAGACAGAGAGAAAGTTAGAAACATCAGTGAGAGAGAAACATCGATCAGCTGCCTCCTGCACACCTCCTATAGGTGATGTGCCCCCAACCAAGGTACATGCTCTTGACTGGAATCAAACCTAGGACCTTTTAGTCCATAGGCTGATGCTCGATCCACTGAACCAAACCAGTTAGGGCCGCACTGCTCTTTTGAAAATTCACAGTACTTTATGTCCAATTGATTGGAATGGATAACAATAATGTTTTATTCTTATAAGAACCTATTACTAAGACTGCATAGTGAGTAGGGGTATAAGTCATAAATCTATGATTTTCATCTTAGAAATATCATTTTTATTTGAATAACTCTCCCTGAATGCATTTAGAAGAAGGAGAACAAGGGCTTTGTGTGCAATTACAATATTCGAGAACTTATAGTGATTATTCATATCTATTAAATATTTAAAACACATTACTATCAATACTTGAATATTTTAAAGGTATTACATAACTAATCTCTCCATTTTTAATTCTACTCTCTTTAATTAATCATAAATAAGAAGTAAAATCAACTAGATTACAGCAGGATGTGGCTACTTTGGGCACCAAAATATAATAGGCTTTATGCAGAAATTTTGTTATAGTGGCTTAAATATATTTGAGGTTTAAAAATTAACTGATGTTCAAAAATATAAAGTCATGAATAAGAAAAAAATGTATTGTTTTAAGATAGGGTTACTTTCATTTTTCAAGTTTAAAAATTGTATAATATATTTTTAAATGTTATCTTTATTGTTGAGAGTATTACAGATCTAATAACTTCAACGGAGGAGTTTAAAGTTCCACCTTAGGTATTGTTATGTTTGGTTCTTCTTCATGTTGCTTGTTAATTTCTCCTTTTTCAATGTTTCTATTTATATGGTTTTTATTGATAAATTCCCTAGTGTTGTTTTCCAGTTTACAAATATCGTCTTTCATGATGCCTAGATACATTGTTTTTCCAGCCATTGAGAACACATTCTATCTTAATGATTATACATATTCTCTTTCCAGTTTCTATGGGTTACTGTTTTATTTTTATCACTTCCATTTCCATTCAGAAATGTGCTTATTTATTTTGTTTCATTTCCTTGTGTTCTTTTAAAAGTGTATACTATCATTCCCTCAAAATTATTGAGGACTTCAACTTAATGAGCTTCTATCAACTTTAAGCAATTGCAGCACTTGTTTATACAGTACTCTGGTTTAAATTGGGTGATTTGTGTGAGATGAAGTGCAAATGTCCAGAAAAAGACACCTGTCTAGGTAATAGTTGTTAGAGGAGACCAGATGCCAGAAGTTTCCCTGAATTGAAAAGTCACGATGGCACAGGGGCTCTAGGGCAAAGAATGCAGAAGAAATAACGGGCAAAAAAAACATTTCCTGGATTTTGAGAGCATAGGAGTCAGGGAAAATATGTTCTAATAAGGCAGGGACTTTATGGAAAAGTATCCTAACCTTGGATTTTCATCGCTTGTGCAGGTGCTAACACATCCCTGTGCAAACATTCCAGAGAGCCACACCACTCACGTGAAATAAAGAAGGCGGAGTGGGAGGGGCAGGCATTAAGGCACAGAGGAAAGAAGACAGACCTGAGAATCCGTGGTCTTTATTCCTTTACTTATGAGGTTTATGATTTGGGGCAAGTACATTTCTGAGTTTGTACATTTATAAATTGAGGTTTACACATATTAAATTCCAAGAATTTCCTTGATATTGTTATTTACTATAGTTTTGGTATTCTTTGGAAGCTGGAAAGATCTGCTGTTACTAAAGTACATTGAAAATATTGAGCAAATACACTGAGTGATCATGCTTTGCCTAAAAGCAACCCTGAGCCAGTAGTGGTTGAAATAACAGAGCCCCACTAGCAATGGGAAAAATGTACCTTGATATGCCTTACAAATGTGTGGCTTATATATGAATAACTCTATTTCTAGGTTCTTGTCAAATAGGCACCCATAGATACGGTGATAATTCAGAAAAGATTTTGAATCCTTTAAATTTGGGACCTATTCAGCTTTGTCACTTGTCCAATCAGTAACCTCTAAAAAATAGCCTCATATTTCTAGAGGTTACTGATTGTTGTATTAAATGTGAACAAAAATGATTCGTGATATATACCTAGCAGATAGTAGGCACTTACTAGTATAAATGCTATTATAAAGGAAGGAAAAAAAAGAAAACAGACTTAAAGGAAAATATTCTAGTTGACCTCACTCACCTTTTACTGAAATCCCACTTTCATTCCAGAGAAAAAGTGAATCATTCAATGCCCCGGACTGAGGATCCCCTTCAGCCAGCCATCCTGTAATGAGCACCAGCATGCAAACCCATTGCCCTGCCTTCAAAGCACTGGACCAGCACAGGAGAGCATTTCAATTTCTTCCGGACAGATGTCTTGCCAGTGGTCATGGGTATTGTGTTCCCTTTTACTGTCTCCCCACAAAGACTATGGTCACTCAAACTGGAAACTCCTCATCACAATTCCAGACAAAGAAAGTCAGTTTTAATGGGATTTCTTTCCTGATGGAAAAGTCAACAATCTGTGAGAGCAGGCCTCCTGTGGTTCAGGGCGTTGCTGATGTTTTCGGTGTGAAATGAATCACACTGTGCAACAAATCATTGCAGGCGAATTTATGCAAACTGACAATTAAACCAGGGGGTTATTTTAGACAAGTCAATCATCAATGGTATCTATTTAAAACGATAATGTAAACATAATTGATTGTGCATAATTAATGATTAACCAAGGCTGTGAGTCATTAATTAAATGATGAAAAGGTAAGAGAGGAGAGAGGCTCC